AAAAAAAAAAGAATGAGGTTAAGTGTCAAGAGTGAAGCATCATGAACCACCCAGGAGCAATATAGCGACCTACTGACAGATGAAGTTCATTATTAAGCGAAGTTAGTACTGGCCCATAAACAGGAATTAGGAAACATGACTCTGACCTTGTCAAACCCTGGGTTCAGATGGGATACCTTCCCCACCCATGTTAACTGATGTTTAATTGTCATGCAAAGACCTGCACACACGGGCTGGGGGTGTGGCTCACAGGTAAAGCGCTCGCCTAGCATGCGAGAAGCACTGGGTTCAATCCTTAGCACCACATAAAAATAAAATAAAGATATTATGTCCACCTATAACTAAAAAATAAACATTTTTTTAAATAAAAGACCTGCACATAAACAAATTTACACTTTAATTTACATGCATCCTTAATCATGCTCTGTGGTGATGGTATTTTTGGATGAAAACATTGACATAGTGAGACTAGGGGAATATGTATCTAGAAAAATAAATAAAAACCCAAAAGCTCACCTCCAGACCACTCTGGATTGTGCCACATGAAGGCCCACATAGACCCTCATGGACCCAACCCCACACCACCTAAAGGAAACACAGTTGCTTCTATGGACTACAAACAATGGCCATGGTGCTTTCTCTGGAAAATCAAGTTCTACAACCATATGCCCAATCCTCATTCACAGCAGGATGCTTTCATCACCAGGGCTCTGCATACTAAAGCCAGCAAGACTGTCCCACCTTCTAATCATCTAGATCATCCTCAGCAAATGAGCGGGTCCAGGACACATACCATATTTGGTTCCTTTTGGATCTACCTGAACTTAAAGAAAGTCACTATAAAGATCAGACCATACTCTGTCCTGTGTGCACAGACCTTTTTATTCACTTGGTAACATTAAAAAACCAGAGGAAAGACAGCAGTTAAGACAAGGGAACTCAAAGGCAAGAACAGAGCCAGCCTCCTCCTGTGGAAAGACACAAGCTCTTCATGGGGTGTGGATGCTTCAAGTCCATGTTGGCTGACAATTACAAATTTCTTTTGCCAGGAGGGAAAACTGTTGCTGAGGGAAAAGCATGCTACCATACAGGGGGGAGAAAGGCTGTCTTTTTTTTTTTAAAGAGTGAGAGAGAGAGAGAATTTTTTAATATTTATTTATTTATTGGTTTTTGGCAGACACAACATCTTTGTTTGTATGTGGTGCTGAGGATCGAACCTGGGCCGCACGCATGCCAGGCGAGCACGCTACCGCTTGAGCCACATCCCCAGCCCCTCATTTTTCTTAATATTGTTTTAGTTGTAGATGGATACAATGCCTTTATTATTTATTTATTTATTTCTATATGGTGCTGAGGATCAAACCCAGTGCCTCACACATGCAAGGCAAGCACTCTGCCACTGAGCCCCAGCCCCAGCCCAAAGGCTGTCATTTTTAAAATTTTTTTTTTGAGAGAGAGAGAGAGAAAGAGGAGAAAGAATTTTTTAATATTTATTTTTCAGTTTTCGGTGGACACAACATCCTTATTTTTTATTTTTATGTGGTGCTGAGGATCGAACCCAGAGCCCTGCACATGCCAGGCAAGCACGCTACTGCTTGAGCCACATCTCCAACCCCTCATTTTTAAATTTTGTCTTCAATGAAGTGTTGGTTGGCAACCAACTGTCCCTTGAAATTCCCAACAAAGGAAATTGTATATGCCAACCCTGATGTACATATTCAGATGGTCATGACTTAATACAATAGAAGACAATCCAAATAAATAATACTTGTATTTCTCACATAAAGTAGTAAAACTTACCAGAGCGTAAGATGGGTCCTCCTTATCCATCTCATGGGGAATCAAACTCTACCAAGTCCACCGAGGGACCTGGGAGAACACAAGAGTAACTGGTAGTACATGGATGGTGTTGCTCGTGAATCATTCAGGAATATTACTTGATGTGGACATGGGGCAAGAGTGTAAGGCAAAGAAGAGGAGCAGGAGAGAAATAGGAAGGAGGACCTTTGACTTTCCAGATAAAGGTGACTTGTCAGTGTGAAGCAGTCATTCTAAAAAAGAAAAAGAAAGAAAGAAAGAAAGAAAGAAAAAAAAAGAGTAAACACTCAAGTATGTACTGTGCCTCAAGGACACAGTCCTTCCTGTTGTCCAAACATCATAACTTTTAGGAAGAGTGGTTAGTGGTCAGCATTCTTCAGTGGGGTACCAGGAGCTAGGAACAGGTAGGGAAAGAGACTTCCCTAAGCTGTCAGAGGGAGCGCGGGCCTGCCTACGCCCGCATGAGGGATTTCCAGCCTCCAGAACCCTGAGACAATGCACTTCTAGTAGGTCAAGCCCACCAGTGTGGCCCTTGGCCATGGCAGCCGAGGAAGCTAACAAGCACTGCCAGAAAACTAGGCCTCATTGGCATTGGTACTCTACTTCACTCAACAGTGAGAGAATACATTCTTCTCAAGGTCACTTGAGACATTCCTCAAGATAATTACATTGTGGGTCCTAAAACATACCTTGAATTTTTTAAAAGAATACAACCATACAAAATATGCTGTCGTGTCAATATGGAATTAAACTACAAGTCAGCAACAGAAAAAGAGACCTGAAAAACTCCCAAATGTCTGGAGTTCAACAATATATTCAATAAAACACACAGGTCAAAGAGGAAGCCTCCAGAGAAATTCTTTCTTTCATTTTTTATTTTTTTGGTGCCGGTGGGGTACTAGGAATTGAACTCAGGGCACTCAATATCACCAGCCCTTTTTTTGTATTTTACTTAGAGACAGAGTCTCACTGAGTTGCTTGGGGCCTCACTAGTGTGTTGAAGCTGGCTTTGAACTCAAGATCCTCCTGCCTCAGGCTCCCCATGCACCACCACATCAGGCCTATTTCATATTTTGAACAAAGGGAAATTAAAATTCACCTTGTGAAATTTGTGAGATACAGTGAAAGCAATACTCAGAAGGAAGTTTGGAGCACTGAACACAACAGTATACTGACGGGAGCTGCCCTGGGTGCAGATGACCTTCAAGTTCTGATGCATGAGGCTCTGACCAATCACTACATTTCTTAGTGACTTGGGTGTTGTCCCTGCTCCAATAGCAAGGCATGGTTCCAGGTGTAGGGGTCACCTGCGGGGGCTGAGCTCCACTCACCTATTCCTTTCTAATCCTACCCCTTTGCCCTGTTTAGGATAGAATGTTCCATGGAAACTCCCTTGTGTGTCCCCTTCTCTTGCTCTTCTCTTGATCCACACACAGCACATGAGATGGGTGTGGCCTTCCTAGATGTCAACATCCTGCAGACTTCAGGAAGCTAGCCTCAACCCCTGAAACCTGACCCCTTACCTCATCTAAATGGCTTCTCCCCAGTAAAAGGGTTCAGCACGTGCTCCTCATTCTCTCTCTTTCCACGGACCCCTAACGTCAGAGAAGCTGTCACAAGACCCAAAGAAAATATTTAAAAAGGGATGGAGATGTGGCTCAGTGGTTAAGCACCCTGTCTCTGTGTGATTATTTATTTCGTGCAGCCCAGTTCACCTGGAGCGACCTGGAGTGTCTAGTCGTGGAACGTAACAGTACAGAAAATAAAGAGAAATGAATTTAAAAATCTAAGCTTCCTCCTCAGGCAACTAGGGTGAAAAGAGAGGTGTAATGGAAAGCCCACAGAAAAAAAATGAAAATGGCAATCATGACAGAAATCAATGTCATAAAAATTGGGAAATCAACAGAGAATTAAACAATCCCAAAATCTAGTTCTATCAAATAATCATCGAATTGGACAGCTTCAAACCATGTTAACTCCAAAGAAAATAAGAGGACACAATGGCCCAATAATATAATCCAAGAGAAATTATTACTGATTCCATGGACATTAAAAGATGATAAAGGAATACTTTGAACAATCCTCTATTGATGAGTCTGAGAGCATGAGGGAAATAGAACAATTCCTTCAAAGGCAGAAAGGACTAAATTTTACCCCAGGAGAAAGATAATCTGATAGGCCTACATTTATTAAAGAAACTGAATCAGTAATTAGTTGCTTCAGGCCATGCGCAGTGGCACATGCCTGTCATCCCAGCAGCTCAGGAGACCGAGGCAGGAGGATCTTGAGTTCAAAGCCAGCCTCAGCAAAAGTGAGGCACTAAGCAATTCAGTGAGACCCTATCTCTAAATAAAATACAAAACAAGGGTGGGGATGTGGCTCAATGGTCAATCCCTGACACCAAAAAAAAAAATTAGTAACTTTAGTCAGGCACAGTGGCACCTGCCTGAAATTCCAGCAGTTCAGAGGCCAAGGCAAGAGAATTGTACATTCAGAGCTAGCCTTAGCAACTTAGTGAGGCCCTGAGCAACTTAGTGAAATCCTGTCTCTAAATAAAATATTTAAAAAGGGATGGAGATGTGGCTCAGTGGTTAAGCACCCCTAGTTAAATCCCCAGTACAAAAAAAAAAATCAGTAACTTCAAAGAGGAAAACACGAGTCCAAGATGCTTCCACCCATTATGTTGACCTATCTGTAATAGTGATAAATGACAATAGGCCTTTGTCGAAGCCCATAGAACTGTGCAACACTGGATGAACTTGAACTCTAGCTAATGGTAACCTATCCATATTGGTTCAACCTTTGTAACAAATGTACCACACCCAAAACAACTGTATTTTTAAAAGAAAACAGGAGTTATGAAGTAAATTTGGGAACATTCTGCCCTATCTATTCAATTATTATTTTAATCTAAAATTGTTCTAAATAATTTCTATTCCTTTGGTTTTGAATTTGGAATCACTGTTGCAGAATGAGACCTATTTACTATGAAGAGTGTACAAAACTAAGTCATAAATAGATCTGGAGTTTTAGGAAAGCTGATCAACTTAATGAATTTAAATTTGTACACATCAAATAAAAAGAGAATATGGCATGGAACATTTAGTTTTCTCTGAGCTATGGAATTCTGAATAAAGTAAAATCATTATTGATGATTGAATTCAAAGACTAAATCTCCAGCATACCTTCATCTGATTCCTCAGCAGGGTGAACAAAGTTGAGTGGTCAGAAGTGAATTCCTCTGGACTGTGGCTTGCAGTAGTCAGGAGGATATCTTGACCATGGAGTAACCAGGTCATTGAGGCAAGATCCTGGGAAATGTATTAAAATAGAGACAGCTGTTGACAGAAGACCATAGGGTAATTAGTAATCATTGATTCAATGTTCAAACATTTTTTTAAAAAATTTAGTTGTAGATAGACAGAATACCTTTACTTATTTATCTTTTTTAATATTTTTAGTTGTACACAATACTTTTGTTTTATTTATTTATTTTTATGTGGTGCTGAGGATCAAACCCAGGTCCTCACACATGCTAGGCAAGTGCTCTACCACTGAGCCACAACCCCAGTCCCCAACATTAAAACTTTTTTAGTCAACATGTGATAATTTCATGCATTTGGGGGGACAACGTGAAGTTTCCCTACATATGAATGTTATGCAATGATACCACAACCCACAACCGGCTCCTCGATATTTCCATTTTGTGTGTGTGTGTGTGTGTGTGTGTGTGTGTGTGTGTGTGTGTGTGGTGAGAACAGTCCCATCATTTGCAACAGTGTGGATGGATCTAGAGGACATTTTGTTAAGTGAAATAAATCAGGAACACAAGGAAAAATACAGTACCATCTCACAGATGGAAAAAAAATCAATCTCATAGAAGTTAAGAGTAGAACAGTATCATCCTATGCTCTCTCTACAGTCAGTGACTAGAGTTAACAACAATGCAAGAGTTCAAACTTTCTTTCATGTTCTTTTACTTGTAGATGAACACAATGTCTTTGTTTTATTTATTTATTTTATGTGGTGCTGAGGATCAAATCCAGTGCCTCGCACATGCTAGGCAAGTGCTCTACCACTGAGCTAAAACCCCAGGGGCTGGGATTGTGGCTCAGCAGTAGAGCGCTTGCCTAGCATGGGTGGGACCCGGGTTCAATCCTCAGCACCACATAAAAAAAAATAAAGGCATTGTGTTGTGTCCATCTACACCTAAAAAAAGCCCAGCCCCAGAGTTCAAACTTTTGATCTGACTTTTCACCACTGGGACAGCAAAGCACCTGAGTCAGAGCCGGACTTCAAAAATAATCTCTGCAGTTTGGTGTGAATGTAAAACTAAACAGATTGTTGTGTGAGAAAATGCCTTCAATGAGGTGAGATATATAGAAAGGCAGAGAGAACAGTGGCCAAGGGCACAGAGCTGGGGCCATATGGGCTGAGTTCGAATCCAGTGTGGAAGCTGGGCGCACCTGAGAAGGCGAAACAAACCCCCCTGTGCCTTAGTTCCCTGTTTGGAGATGTGGAGATGTCCATCTGACCTATGTTATATTAAAAGGCTAACAATAATTAGGTACAGGCAAAGCTTTAAGAAAACAGGTACTTCTGAAATGCGCTAAAATACTCACTCATTAAATGTCTGGAAGAAGGGGCTGGGGTTGTGACTCAGCAGTAGAGTGCTCGCCTAGCACAGGCAGAGCCCTGGGTTGAATCCCTGGCACCCCACATCAAAATAAATAAATAAAATCAAGGTATTGTGTCCAACTACAACTAATAAATAAATAAATAAATAAATAAATAAAATGTCTGGATGATAAGCGAAATCTTTGATAGGGGTGGAACACAGACATGGCTACAGAGCAATGGGGGATTAAAGTCTGTTCTTCATCCTTCACACTGGAGTAATCTTTGTAGCTCGTGGAGAGCACCTCTTATTGCCTATGACCCCATGTCTTACCCAAGGGTTAGGCAGAGGAGAGACTGTAACCCAAAATTTACCATTTAGGGAACTGGAACTAGGAGACTTTAGGTGATTTTCCCAGATTCACCACACTGATGGGTGATAGATCTGGGGCAGAAGTGGAAATGTTTCCCTTGGATGTTTTCCCTAGAGATCCCAGAACATCTGCATCCTCGAGATGATGGCTTAAAACCATGAACCAAGAGCCCTTCTTACTCTCAAATCCTCCTACCCCAAGGTTTTCTAGTGAAGTCTGAAGCCCCGGAAGATCTGACTGAGCTAAAAGAAATTGAAATCATAACTATCTTTAGCTTTCATCCCTCACCTGAAATATGATCATTTCATCCAAATGAAGCCTCTCTGAAGGACAAGGGGGAGGTCCACTCTTGTGACCATCCTGCCCCAGCATCTTCTTGCTGTTAACTGCCAATCAGTGAACCTTCCTGATGAGCAGTTGACAACCCCGGGGCTCCCAGTCTCACTCAGATCTCGCGACATTCCAAACCAACTGACACTTCTTGATGGCTGGTTAGAGAATTAACTTGCTTCCTTGTAATCACTCCCAAATGAGCCTATAATGCTTATTAATGGGTCAAGGGGCCCCCTGGACTGGTTCAGAGTAAGAAGTTGGCATGTGCCCATGTCTAGGGACTGTTGATCTAAGCCACTGTCTGAGTAGCTGGACAACTGCCTGGCTGAGAACTTGCCCAGTGGCACCAGCTCTCATTGGGCAGATTCCTGCTCATGTGCTTCCCCATCCCCCACCAGATCCTGCAGGGCCAGCGGACAGAGTCTTATCTACCTTAGAGTGGGCCAACCACAACCATAGTCTGTCAATCCCACCCTCCCAGAGGACCACCCAGGATTTGGGATTTTGACGTCTATGTTCAGAAGAGTTTGGCCTTTAATTCTCCTTTTGTAGGACATCTATTGCCAGATATAGCATCTAGAGTCTCCTGATCTGATAAAGCAGTTGGGTGTGAGTCCTGGTATTTCATTCTCTTAAAAAAAATGTCTATGAAATTGACATTAAAAAATGTACAATTTTTCTAAGTTAGGAAGCTATTTAAGGCAACCAGCTGATGGAAGAATGAAAAATCCAAATGGGGAATGATAATACAAAATCATAAAACACACTTCAAAATCAGTAGAGAAACCAGAGTGGGGGAATGAAAGCAATAGATTGAGTAGGAGCTAGCCGGCCCATTAGAAGAAATGGCCTTCAAAAGCTCAATGGTGGTATACCTCTGCATCAGCAGTTCAGGTTTCCCATCTTGAAGGACGCTGGGTAAGAACCTGACAACCGTCAAACTCCTCTCAAGTTTGAACCTCCTCAGATCACAGATTGACAGAATGGAAGGCAAGATACGCATCCCCAATTGCCAGAGCAACAGGTTCTCACAGGACTTTTAGAGTGAGCACACACCATGCTATCCAGGATGCTGCTCCTCTGCTATCTAGACAAGTATATTTTACAATGCCTGGTGTGTTGTGTAAGGGAGCATGTTCTGCTTAAAAACCTAAATCCCAGACCCACACATTTTATCCTCTATATATGAAGACAAGTTAAGTGAGCAAATATTACTTCCCAGCCACAAATATTTTCCTGGATCATAAAAGCCCATGGTACAAGGGAGTCAAATCTAACATATTGAGAGCCAAAAGCAATTCCATTCCAGATTTGAAATACCAACCATACACATTTCCCCCTATTCCTGAATCTCCAGAAATTTCTTGATGGAAAAAATGTAGACTTTTCTCTTTTTTTCTTTACAAATTGAGCTGAAAAACATGTAAATGTAGCTGGGGTTAAAGCTCAGTTGTAGAGTGCTTAACTAGCACAGGTGAGGCCCTGGGTTTGGTCCCCAGAATCTCAAAAAAAAAGGAAACTCGTTTAATTCGAGATACATTTTACATCCCACATATTTGAAATTGGTAAACACAGCTTTTTTAAAAAGTTCGGTGCAAGTTAAAACAATGGCTTGAATGAGTCTTGCCTCTTCCATGACCCCTGCTGACAGATCAGTCCTTTTGATCAAGACCTAACTCTTTCTTGAGTCTTCTCATCTCATGAGGAGACATGGTTGAAAAGGATCAAAATTAGGTCTTTCTTTTTTTATGAAACAGAGAAAATTCATTTAATTTGTGATCATTTGCAAAGAGGGGGGAAATAGTAAGATTATATTCAATCCCAGTATACAGAAGGGGATTAAAAGACTCCAGGGGCTGGGGCTGAAGCTCAGTAGCAGAATGCTTGCCTTGCAAGTGTGGAGCACTGGGTTCAATCCTCCGCACCACATTAAAAAGAATAAATAAAGATATTGCATCTATTTAAAAAAAAAAAAAAGGAAATGACTCCAGGTTGATGTCAATGAAGAAAGCATAATGCACCATCTGCCCACACAAGCCTCTGAGAAAATGCTCCCCAGCCTATGACTCAGCTCATCCATGGCACACTGTAAAGTACCTTAAACCCATTAGAAGAAGAATGGTCATTTTTTATTTTTCTCAGGAGTTCTCAAAATTTTCAGCATCAGAGATGAGCAAATAGAAGTAAATAATTTTTTACCTGAATCTATTCAATGGGATTCACATATCTGTGATCTTTGATTTTGATATATGAGGAATTTATACCATTTTATAAAATTGCAGATGCAACCATATTGAATAATCTAGTTTAGGATTACAAACAAACACATAATTGTATCCCTTATATCAGAAGAGCCATCCTTTCTCACAAATGACAGGAGGATCTCTAAGAAAAACTCATAAAATCAGTATGGTAGATTTAATCTAACATAGAGTGATGGCAATTTAATGGTATCTCCCTATTAAAGAAAAAGACACTGTAAGGATTTGACTTAAGTCGATTCAGTGGGAGAAATATCACCAAACAAAATCTCTTCTCTGCTATAATTAAGTCAAAGTCTGAGTAGGTGAAGAAGGGGTGACAGGACAAGACCAGGGAGAGAGGAGTGAAGTCAACAATGAGAGACCCTGTTGTATCCCTGAGATAGGTCTTGAGCCCCTGTGGAAGCCCCGGAGGATGGTGCCCAGGAGATGACTCCACTCTGGTAGTAGAGTCTATTATGATCTTATTTCTTGGGTATCACTTGCAATGTCTTCTCCTTCATTTATAATTTTTGAGTTTTCTCTCAGTCTAGCTAAACTTTTGTCAATTTTGTTTACCATTTCCAAAAACCAGTTTATTGTTTCATTGATCTTCTCTATAATCTTTCAAGTCTGTTTTATTTATTTTTGCTCTAATCATTACTTATTTCCTTCTGCTACCTTTGGGCCCAGTTTGGTCCTGCTTTTCTAGTTCCTTGAACTCTGCAGACAGGTTGATAGGTTGCTTATTTCCCTTTTTCTGAATCTTAGAAC